TGTGGCCCTGTGGCCCTGTGGCCCTGTGGCTCTGTGGCGCCCAGCACTGGCATGTCGCAGATCCTTCGACTGCTGACGGCTTGAATTGACACGTCCAAGTCGCGTCGGTATGTCGTTCGCGCGTCTGTTGGCTCTCAGACTCCTTCCGCTCAGTCGGCACGGCGAGTCTGCCAACCTAGCCCCGGAGGTGATTCTACAGTAGCAGCAGGAGTCAATCACCCGTAAACAGCATACACAGCCGTGGGCGAGCCACACAGAGAGCCAAAAAAAACCCCGCGTGCCTAGCGTGAATGCGTCGGGTTCGGCTAGCTCGCCTGCGTAGCCAGTCGGAAGCCAAGCCGCTCGTCTGTGTGCTAAGTTACAGTACGCCCGCTCGGTCTCGGCCTCGAAATCCCACGATGGCTTGCAGTCATGATGCTCACCAGCGACAAAAGCTCGGTTAACACTCGCCGCCGAGGTCGCATCGTGTCGTGTTCCCCTGACAAGGCTCAAACTCTGCTCTAGCCCCCGCTCGTACTGAACCGTAGATTCCGCCCTCTACAGTAACCGAACAGGGTTGCGCAATCAGCTGCCCGAGCCCGCCCTACCCGAACCCTGCCGCCTGCCGCCTGCCGCTGCCACTTCCTCGCTGCATACACAGTTGTACGCGCGCGCTGCACAACTTGCATGGTGCAGGTGGGTCGCTCATCCCTAACCAACTTATTATACCTGCCTCTGCTTTGGCATCATTGTCCGCCTCAACAGCCACTGTCCGCACTCCATCCTTGCCTCCCTCCCGCCGTCATCCTCCCACCTTCATCCTCTTCTCCTCGCCTCTCCGGCTTCTGCTCGCCATTGTCACCTTCTGCCTTGCGCAAACGTTGACAGCCCCACGAACGGCCCTGGCGCCGTCTCGACCTTCACCCTTCCTAATCTCAACATTCTCGCCCTCGTTCTTTGCAGCGCTTGCATGTGGCTGCATCTTCATACAGCTATCCTCCATCCACCAACCAGCCAAGCACCCTCGATTCACCTTGGCCCCGCTCGTCGTCCTTCCATGACTCTGTCGTTGGCGCCAGCCTAGCCACCCACAAAGCGCATCGTGTCCCACGCAGCCCACCTGCTCTACGCCATCTTTGCCTCCTCATACGCTCCCCTTCCTCGACATCCAGCCTCGTCCAAAATGTGCCATGTCGCATCCTCCGGCTCAAGCTAGTACCGTCACTCCGCCAACACGGCAGAACGACACCATGGAAACCGTCACAGACGCCAACGATCTGCGTCAGAAGGTGCTCGCTCTACGTCAGATGAAGAAGGAGCAACTCTTGTCGGCATCACAATCGGCGCTCTCGGCACAAATCGACGTCGAACACAACCGCCTCACCTGGTTTGGAGTCGACGACCCGGACCACCTCTCCATCCCCGACATCCCAGCCAACGCTTCCGAGTCCATCGCTTCCCGCACCTCTCATGACGACATTGAAGACGACGACGCCGACAGCACCGTCCTCGGCCACTACCTCGAGGCCTTGCCGCTTCCGCCCCGTACCGTCTTCGTAAAGAGCATTGCTCCATCCGCTGCTCGCTCTTCCCACGTCATCTCCCGCGATTCCGGCTCTCTCTATCCCATCCAGCAAGACACCCTCACCGCGCGGGCCGCCCTGCCTTTGCGACGCGGCTCGAGCGCTCGCACAAGCGTCTCGTCCCTCCATCGCAACCCTCGTGCCTCCACCAAGGATGCATTCGCTTCAGCTTCCGCCCCTTCCGGTCGAAACACGCCCCTGGGCCCACCTCCCACCATGCCGCTGCCTCCAAGACCCACCCGCTCATCCCACGACTCGCACTCCCTCTCCTCCCGCACATCCAGCCGCGTCTCGGCAGCCACCGTCGTCTCTCGGCGCTCGTCCACTAGCGCATCCTCCAGCTGCAAAAGCGCCGACTTGACCCTCGACGCCTCCGTCTCGACAGACCGCACCGACTCCTCCGACGTTTCGGACGAAGAGCTCGACAGTATCCGCACCATCTCCAACCACTTTCCTTCCCCTGTCCATCCTTCGGCCACCCTTTCGCACCACTCGCTGCACCAGGCTCTCAGTCCGTCGCAGCCTACTTGGCAGGACCTGCCTTTCGACACTCCTCTTGCACGCCGAGACAAGCAGTTTGGCGTCCAAGGCGAGAGTAGCTCCGACAGCGCCCTCTCCGACGTGCTCAACTTGACCGATCACAGAGGATTACTTACGGCGAAGCATCCGCACCTGCCGGTCAGTGTCGCTCGAGTCGGCCTTGGCCCTCGCTCTATCTCGCCACGAGCCGCAGCTTCCTCTCCCGCATCAGAGCAGCTCGAATATCTGTCGGATTCCAGCGCCGCCCCATGTCCAGACCCAGATCATGGCACGCGCCCCTCTACATCGCGCCACAAGCGAACGGGCACCATGTCCAAAAGCCTGAGTGAGCTCATGGTCGCACTCGAACTCGAAGCAGATGACTGCAGACAACAACGACAGCGCCAGTCGCAGACCCATCACAGTGACTCAGCCCAGCTCGCTTCGTCATCAAGATCCAACGACACCGACGGCAGTGATCTCCAACACAACGGTCCCGACGAGCCCGGCATCCTCCCCACGTCCGACTCGCTGCCTTCACTCAGTTCGTCCGGGTCTCAGGATGAATCTCTCGATGATTCGCGCGGTCTGCAAACCGCAGAATCCTCCTTGACTCGTTCCGTCAGCACCAAGAGCGTCGGCTCCTATCGCAGAAGCAGCGATACCGTCCATGACAACGGAAGCGTAGCCGAGTTCCAATCCATCTACAACGCTTATCGAGATTCTGCAGCCACTTTCGCGTCTCGCTTCACCGCTCCCACCGTCCGCATCGAGGATCCTCAGGGTGACGAGATCTCTGACTCGGAGCTCGAAGGAGGGAGCTCCTCTGAACTCGACCAAGTGCCTCGCAAACGCAACAAGTCCTCGAGGAAGAAGCATCTTGGCTTTGATGAACAGCGAGCTTCTTTACGAAGTCGCTCTCTCACTGTCACCCGCCCGGTCGCCGATCCTTCCAGGGCCGCTTACCGCTCACGCACAGCAACCGCTCCCACCGACGAGCACAGCGTCTCATCCACAACCGTCGATACTCCCACTCAGGGTTTGGACCCCTATGCCTTCTACGAGTTCTCTCCAAGCCTACCGCCTTTTATGCCCACGGGACTTTCACCCCGCGACTTGACCGGCAGGGGTACATGGTCCAGCATCGTGGCTCGCGCTTCCGAGCGCATGCGCTCGCGCCAGCCTTCCATAGCATCGCTTAGCACGCTTGCCAGCACAGCTACCGGCCCTGTGTCCATGCGGCAGATTCGTGCCTCCGCCGAGGCCAAACAGCGCCAAATCGATGCTGCCCATCGCGCCCGAGAGCAATTGTCGGACCAATTTGCTGCGATGAGCTATCGACCGTTCGCAATCCACGATCATGCCTTGTCGCTCGTCGACCCTTCCAGCACGCCCGTCCAACTCTCTCGCTCCTTCTCGTCGAAATCCATCGCCAGCAGCCAAGCATACGGCACCACGATGGAAAGACGGTCTTCGACCACTACGCTGGGCTACACTGAATCCATCGCGCCCAGCGTTGGCGAGTACGGCTCCAAGTGGCCCGTGGCTGTCGGTGCCGACGAGGCCGTCGGTCCTGATGATGCAGCCTCTTCCCACGCTTTCATCGCCTCGTCGCTTTCCAGACAGCCTTCTTCGAGCCACGGCCAGGCTAAGAAGTACGTCGAGTTCTCGATGCAGACTTCGCCGCAATCGACGCCTACAACGGCGGTGATGCCTCTGCCAGCGGCAGCCGATAACGCAGTCCCGCACTCTAATGTCGAACTCGGCTCTCCGTCTCCCGGATCCGCTGCGGCACAACGATCAAGCTCTCATCTCGACTTGTTGGGCATCGACGCGCCGATGCGTCGACGCAAGAGCTCCGCCTCGTTGCTCAGCATGCACGATCTTGACGCCGAGCTCGATAAACCTGGCCTCTGGCCTTCGCAAATTCGAGCTCCTCGCCTCTCGCCTTCAGCACCTGGCCGCGCCAGAAGAGAGAGCGCTGTCGTCGCAAGCGAGGGCCAAGTCACCGTCATCGACGCCGGCAGCGATGAAGAGTCGGATCTGGATGTCGACGCCAGCTTGGAAGATCTGGCAGAGCGCTCAGGCGTCCTTGACGCATCTAGAGGATCCAAGCGGAAGCTGCGTGTGGACGCATCCGAGACTCGAGCGTCCGGCGTTACGCCCGATGCCTCGTCTCGTCCAATCGCCTCCATCCCTGCAAGGTCGAAACGCATCTCGGCAGCCCTGGATCGCATCCGCGCCCAGCAAGCTTCTCGTGCTGCTGCATGGCACAGCTCGGACGACTCCGACGAGGACTCCATCTGTGACGACGACGGCGTTCATTCGCCGGTGCAGCGAGGAAAGCCCATGCAAGCTCGATCCTCGCTTTCTGTACTGGCGAACAAGTCCCGAGGATCCTACAATGCCGACGACACGAGCTGTGATTCCGCCACGTTGCCCTTGAACGCCGGCAGCCGTGTATCATCGGCCAGCTCCAAGTCGGTCTCGAGTTCCAGGAAGCTGCTGAGGTCATCGAGCCCTGATCTCATCGCTCCGCCGAGCGATGAAGAGGAAGTGCTGCTGACCGAAGATCTCGAACTGGATCAGGCAGAGATTTCGCGCCACGCCATGGTCGACGACGAGTTTGATCTTCACGTCGGCGAGGCTGTCACGCCGCGCTTTTCGACTCCTTTGAAGGCGCAGAACAAGGCACTCGTACGTCAGAACAGCGGCAGCCTCGCTTCGGAGACGAGTCGCGAGGCTCAGGTCGCACCACAGGAATCTTGTCGCTCACGAAGCAGCTCCATGAGCAGCGTGATCGAAATCATTCAAGAGGCCGACGAGATCTTGTCCTCCACCGGTCACTCGATCGGACATAGCTCTGGTCACGACACGACGATCAGCGACTCGGGCGGAACGAGCGGACATGATCCGCAGAGACCCAACCAGGCTGCTGCCGAAGTCATTCGACGACGCATGTCGTTGAGGAAGCAAGGTATCCAGCCGCCGATCATGCTTTTCAAGAGGCAGCCAGAACGGGCAGCTGTGGCAGAGCCTGCTGATGGCGCGACCGGCGCAGAGAGCGTAGTTCGCACGGGCTGTGACGGGGATGTGGAGAGTCCAGTCGAGGACGCATCGACGTCACCAGCTTTGCAAGATACCCCAGATACCATGGCCGGGTCGGAGATCTGGAGCAGCTTCCACGCCGACCGCCTGAGCACCACATCCTCAGCCACAACTTGGTCCTACCGCAGCTCGGTCGATGCGCCCGCTCGCTTGCAATCCGTGTCGACGCGAGAATCGGTCGGAAGCGTCAAGGGGGCCACGTCGAAGCCTGCCCAATCGGTGCCCACGGATGCAGCGTCAGTAAGAAAGGCTGCTCAGCTCGGTGAGCTTCCCAGCGCTTCCAAGCCGGAGACGACGAACAGGACTACGCCACCCGGTCAACCGATGCTGCGCAGGAAGAGTAGCGGCATCCCGACTGCGAGGGAGCGTACCGTCGTGCCCAAGCCAACCCCACGCCCTTCGTGGCCGCTGAACGCCGGCTCGGTGACTTCAGGAAGTGGTGCTGTCCCGCGAATCGAAAAAGGCGAGAGCGCCTCAAAAGGGCCCGGAGCAGGGATCCGAAGATACCAAAGCGCAGCAAGTCTGCGAGGAGCTGCCCTGCGAGCAGAACAGGACATGACCCAAGCTTCCAGCGCTACTGTACGCAAGGATGGCCTGGCTAGCAAGGACGGCGCGAGGCGAGCCAGATACAGCGACGGACAGCACATCACCCCGTCGAAGGCTATTCGCAGTGTGGGCGGGATCACGCCGTCCAAGCTGCCGAGTCTGCGCAGTGTGGCAAGCACAAGCTCGCTGCGGTCCCAGGGACAGGCCTCTGCATTGTCTCGGCCCGCGTCAGGCAGCCAACGAGGTGGAGTCCCTCAACGGCTGCCAAAGACGGCGACGATGGGACGCGAACGTCAAGCTTCGTCGAACGGAGCCGGCGCCCTTTCCTCGGGTCTGCCGTTGCCGTCTTCCTTACGGGCTGCGCCGTCGGCACTTTGCTGATTGCCTTGCAGGCCAAGTGCATCAGCGGTGTACCCATTCCGTGTGTGAGTGAGTTTGCCCCTCCACCCCACCCTGTGATACCCACCGTTCAATATATTGCATCGGGCTACGTTTGGCCTGGAATGCATCAACCGACTTTCGTTCCTACCGCCTTTATCGCAACTCGAGCGTAGCTGTGAGGAACATTTGAGGCGTGTCTGGAGTGCGTGCGCATGTGCACGAGCTATGCAGTGCTAGTCTTTTAGGCGTGGCCAAGCCGGTGCTGAGCGGAGGCATGTAGCGAAAAAAAGATGAAGTGACCCTGAGCAGCCTGAGGCAAATCGTCGGAGGTCCGAGCCGAGGTCGCGAGCCATATTAATAAACACTGCCGTCGCACGGATCACCACCATCTTGCTACTGCATTCTTGCTGCACTGACAACGATGAGCACGAACAACAGCAGCTACACTCAGGGCTACAGCGAAGCGGTGCTGCGATCGCACGCCTCGCGCACGGCCGAAACATCGGCGGCGTTCCTGCTGCCGCACCTCAAGAGCGATGCCAAGATCTTGGATGTCGGATGCGGACCGGGAACGATCACGACGTCGCTCGCCGGCTACGTGCCCGAGGGAAGCATCGTTGGCACCGACTACTCGGAAGATGTCGTTGTACAAGCCCAGAGGCGACTCGAGCGCCTGCGGGACGGGTCCAACAGCGAGGCGCAGCGCCAGGCGGCCGACCGATGCCGATTCGAGGTGGCGTCCGTGTTTGAGCTGCCGTTCGCGGACGAGTCCTTCGACGTGGTCTACTGCCATCAGATGCTGCTCCATCTGCCCAAGCCCGTCGATGCGCTCAAGGAGATGCGGAGGGTGTGCAAGCGAGGCGGCATCGTGGCTGCACGCGAAGCCGACTTTACCACCTCGGTCTTGTTTCCGTCGACCGAGACGTTTGATCTGTGGCTGTCGACGGCTGCAGCTATTTACCGCTCGATCGGCTCGGAGCCCGACGCGGGCCGTCGACTGGTGCGGTGGGCGCTGGATGCCGGATACGAAGCCGGTCCTGAACACATCACCTTCTCTTCGAGCAATCAGGCGTTCGGAGGACAACCACACGCCGAGTTCTGGGGCAAAATGTGGGCCGAGCGGATTGCAGACGAGTCATGGCAGCAACAGGCGCTTTCCACGGGCAAAGTAGACCAGGACCAGATCCAAAGTATGCAGCAAGACTGGCTCACTTGGAGTGCCGCTCCGGACGGCACCTTTGTCATGGTCTGCGGCGAGGTGCTCCTGCGAAAGTGACGGCGGCCGCGGTGCCAAAGTGGCCGTTGCCGCGGGTATCGATGGCGAGCGACTTGCTATCCGCGGTCCGCGGCAAATTAAAGCAACTTTGTTGAGCCTGGCATTTTCCGAGCCGCGATTGTGAATCCCCGCTGACTGGTGAAGTGCCGTGCTGTACCAGCGTTGGTGGGACGTGCACGCGAAAAGCTCAGTCTCTCCATTCCCGCGCTGTCGTCGGAGATGCAAATGTGTTCTACGAGCAAGGCACCCTGCAACTCCGGTGGAAGGAAGGAAAGCTCGGGTGCGGCATCTCAGATCATCGCGAGGTTGTTCGAGCGCTGGCAGCGGCGCCCGCTTCGAGGGTCCACCAGTCGGAAGCGTCGGCAGCTCAAGATATATAGAGGGGCACCGATGCGAAGTGAAGAGACGAACCCCCCCATCAACGCCTCAATCCATCTTCCGCAAACACACGCCTTCTCCATTTTTTAGCCTCAACCCATACTGCAACCATGCTCGCTCCAGTGACCGCGCTTGTCGGACTGACCTGTTCAGGCCTCGCTAGTGGTGAGTGTTTCGACGAGACGAGATCCACGCAGCCTAGACGAGACACAGGTCCGACTGACAACCCGCTCCGTCTGCCACCCCGACTCTCGTTTCCAAATCGACTGCAGGCTTGACGCTCGCCTACCCGCTCCTCATCAACACGCACTTTATCGACCAGCAGGGTGCCATGATTTCGCCGCCCGCGCCATGGGTGGCCAACCTGAGCATCGCTCAGCGACTCACGCTGTGGGAACGCGCCTTCAAGGCTGGATTCGTCGTACCTGCGCTCTCGCTCGTCACCGCCATCGCTCTCACCACCTTTGCTCTGCAGTCCGGTCGCGGTGGCAAGGCTTCGTCCTCGCTCCCGCAACGCCTCTCTGTCCGATGGGAGACCCGCAAAAAGCTGCTGCTCGGATCGGCAGCGCTGACCGGCAGCCTTCTCGTCTTCACCCTGGTCTTCATCCGCCCCACCAACAACAAGCTCATGGCACTCCGCGTCGCCGCAAACAACAAGGAGGCCATCAACGCAAGCCAGGCAGAGGCGCTGCTCGCACATTGGACGCGCCTGCACAACGTCCGCGTCGTCGCCGCCTTCTCTGGGTTCGCCCTGGCTCTCTACTCGTTCGTTTGCGTCTGATTGGCGTCTCTTCTCCTTCGCTTCCTGTACAATCAGCTCGCGCATTCTCACGCAGTCCATCAATGTATCAAAGAACGAACATCGTCGCAAGCGGACCATGCCTTTGAAGAAGGCAAAAGTGTTTGAGACAGCTTGGCGCACACAAAGGAGCGAGTTTCGACCCGGGTCGGTACGTTTCGAACGCAGTTTGTGCTGCCACACTCTTTGATCCGAGGCTGAAGCTTGGAAGGAAGGAGGGACGTGGGCTGTCACTTCGATTTCCACTGCCATATCGTCAAACGCAAGGCGGGTGACCTCGATGGACGTCCAAATCGGCCTGTGATTGGGCAACAGCCTTTCCATGTTGCGCGTCATCGCCGTCATCGCCGAGGTGGACATAGGTCTGTGGAACGATGCGATTTTGAAGATATGTTCGGGAGCCGCGCCTGCCTCCTTCAGCGCCGTTACGATGTTCCGCCAAGCCTGGTCGATCTGCTCGTCTTGCGTCGATGGATACCTGAGCGGCAGCTCTTGCGACCAGCTGCCTGAAGATGGCAATAGTCGCGCCGAGAGACCACAATCGGCCTCGTGAAAGGCAACGAAGAAGATTGGTTATATAGCGCTCCTTTTGCTGACAGACCGAGTTCCAACGGACGCCATTGGGTGATTTTGTTCTTGACGCGCTGACGGTCCCTCA